AGCTATGAAGGAAGGGGGGAAGGGGGAAGGGGAAAAAAAAAAAACTCTAGAACAAATATTTGCATTTGAGCATGCGAAGGGTTTTATTTATATTGTAGCTCAAAAGGCAAGTTTTTGTTGAACTCTTTAACAGACAGGTTATAAAAAAAAAAAAAAAAAAAAAAAGCTTTTCAGATACAGTATGCACAATTTATTATCAACATATAACATAAATAGAAAACAAAAGTCTTGTGGTGATAAAAAAAAAAAAGAAAATTCTATAAACCATTATAAAATTTAGATATGAAAGCAAGACAATAAAGGCAGATAAAAATATTTAATCACAATGAAGTAGATAAGAAATAGCCTAACCCTGCATCTTAATTAGTCCTTATATCAACTATTAAAATTTCTCAACAAAGACTATAATATTAATAATAGCAACAAATTTCTGCAAAGCTACCACAAAGATGGATGGAGACTTTATAGCATGAATATGAGTCACATTTATCATCTTTTTCATCTTCTCTCTAGCTATTTAACTATAAACAAATACCAGATTGGGAAACCCTCACATGTAATTCACTAAATTATAATGTGAACAAATTTATATGTATATATACATATATACACTTCTATTAGGTTTTTTGTATCTTTAATCGCATTACATAACAGCTAAAGCCTCCCAACACTCTCTAGATGGGATTGCCTGGGTTTTGAGAGGCAAAACCAGCAACAACTCATAGCTTCAAGGTTTTAAATCAGATTCGAAACAATGAAACTCATATTCGAAATCCCTTATTACAAACTTGGGAAATATTCGAAAAAATCAAAATTAAATAATTTTGTATAAAATAAGGTAGGGAGAGGAAGAAGCAATCTATGAACCCACACAAATATGAGAGGAAAAAAAGAAAAAGAAAAAACCAAAACCAAAGATGAAAATGAAGATGAAGATGAGCATGAGCAACTTACCAGTTAATGAAATACACTCTCAACAACTGCTTCCAAGGACTCCTTACAGGAAGAACACCATGCAGAAGAGATGGATAACTCTGATTTCAGATACACAGCCGAAGAGAAGATGATCCCTAGAGAGATTGATTTGGTTTTAGAGAGATTGAAACCCTTCCCCTTCTACGTTCCCTTTCTAATTAGAACCAATTAGAAGCCAAAAAGTTTTTTTTTTTTTTTAGGGAGGGGGGGAATCTAATGTATTTGTTTTGGTGATTGGCGTATGAGAGAATTCATTTTGGCGCTTGTTTTTTTGGGAGAGAATTTATATTTTGGCGCTTATTTTATTTTATTTTATTTTTGGTCATATTATTAACGACCTAGATTGTGCGCCGTGAAAAGTGCAATATTTTTAACGACTAGTTTTTTGTGCGCTGTTAAAAGTGCAATATTTTAACGGCTGGTCTACGTGTATTGTGTATAGTTGATGTATTAACGGCATACCATATAAATGTCATAGAATGTTTTATTATTTATGGCTAACATTGCAAGTCATGAAAAAATCATCGTTATTAGCATTTACGGCTTACCCAATAGACACGCCACGGGTAGAAAATTATTTACGACATGCAAAAAAAGAAAGCCGTAAAAGTAAGAAACCACAGGTTGCATTTACTCTATGCCGTTAATGTGAAGCCGTAAAAACCCAGTTTTATTGTAGTGCTTTTCTATTTATTTATTTTTTAAATCCCTCCTCAAATCCCCTAATTAAACACAGCTTTAAAGGATTTGGATATATCAAAAAAGATGTGTTTGCTATCGTTGATAATGATATTATCATTCAATATTTTCAAAATATGAAATCTCGTCGAATTAATTTGTCCAAACAATAATATGAATATATTAAAGAAAATTCTTCTATTTATGATTTGAATATTTAATTTAGGGATGGTTTTGGATGTTTTAAATACACTTTTTAACTTTTTATAATAAAAAAAATGTGTAGAAAAATAGAGAAAGTGGTTAGAAAAGTAAAAAAGAGATATCGATAAATGTTAATTGATGTGACCCAAATAAGTATATGTAGGTAAAAAAAAGTGTACTTTTTTAATTTACCCAAAACACCTACTTAGTTTGTTGTTTGTGGGCAAGTGAAAACTATTTATGATTTGAATATTTAATTTAGGGATGGTTTTGGATGTTTTAAATACACTTTTTAACTTTTTATAATAAAAAAAATGTGTAGAAAAATAGAGAAAGTGGTTAGAAAAGTAAAGAGGAGATACCGATAGATGTTAATTGATGTGACCCAAAGTATATGTAGGTAAAAAAAGTGCACTTTTTTAATTTACCCAAAACACCTACTTAGTTTGTTGTTTGTGGGCAAGTGAAAACTTAATTTTTTTTTATTTTTGGGTGCAAAAAACTTGAATTAGAGAAGTTATTTTTTTTATAAATTTGATAGAATGTATGTTTGTGAATGATATCATCCATTAAAATTTTCGAAATCGTCACCTAGAATGGGTAAGAAGGGAAGATAGAAAGTAATTTGGTAAACGAGTTTGGTGGCTTCCACCCTTTTGTTAATTTTTTTTATTCTTTTCAATTCAACCGTAATTTTCAAAGCATTCCTATTGATTTACAGATTACTATCCCATTTCCTAAATCAAGCATTTTCTTTTTCTTCATGCTTCATATAAGTGATTACAATTATGAGTTGAATCTAATTCTTTTCATGATTATTTTATTTATAAAAATTATATACTTGCAAAATAAATAGATTAATTATCCAGATCCTTGGTTTTAATACTCTTCTTAGGCAAGAATTAATGTTTGATTATTACTTTTTAGCCGTATTTTTATTTTGCATAAAAAATCATTTAAAAAAACTGCTATTTTTGGCAAATTACTTTTAAAAAAATACTAGTTTAGTTAGCAGCCCAACAATCTTAGCTCAAAATTACTATTTCGCTCAATTATTATGGGTTGGTGTGAGCCAAACATATAATTAGTATTTGAGGCTTGAAACACCAAACCCAAAAATTATAATTTTGCACCAACCCAAAAATTATTATCTTTCATATGGTGGGTTGACAACAACCCAAATAAAGAGTGTCTTCAAAAGCTTACACAGGCTATGTTTGGGATAGTTTTTTTTTTTTTTTTTTGGACTATTTTAGTTACAAAAAGACAAAATAGACTAAACAGTCGATAAGACAAAATGTCATATCTAAGCCATAATTATTTCATTTTTTCTCTCACAAAAATAAAAAAAGTCAAAAAATCTATCTCAAACGAGACTTTTTAACCCCATACTAAAATAGCAAAAATTCAAAAAGCCAATCGACATCTCAAACGAAGGCACTATAGGAAAAATCGGGTGATTCTATTTACACTTACACAGTAATTCAGTATGCTCAATTAAAATTTTAAAATTTTAGTTCCTATTATACCATAATGTAAATTTACTACTAAAAACAATATATATTAAACTCTAAAATAATTTTTTTTTTCGTCATGATACACACTAATCACTTATATGTATTCTTCATATTCAAATCTCTTTATCTTTTTTCTCAAATTTCAATTATTTTCTCTTCATCTTTTTTTTTTCCTCTCAAAAATTCTAATCCAACCTATCAAAACTCAACATTATTGTTTCTAACTGACCTGTTTTATAGGCAATGGAAAAATGATACATGGTGTTAGCAGAAAAGTTGGCAAATAGAAGAGTGAAGTCGGGAAAGTTCAGGGCCGATGGCAATTAGAAGGCATTTGCAGAGAAAGAATTGCAATTGGGAAGTTTTCCCACAATACTCTTCTTCCCTAAACACACTTCCAGGCCTATCAAGTACCCCTCGGAGAAGAGAGATGTTGACTCATTGATGGGTATACTACAAATTATAATTTTATATTAAAGAATAATTTGTGAAAAAACATAAAGCGTATTGAAAGTAACTTATAATTTTAAATAATTTAATAGAAAGTACTAAAAAACTAGGTGTACTAAATGATTTTTTGAATACAAATAAAATTATTCAAAAAAATCCATGTTGAGAAAGTCCTCAAATCGAAGCATCAAGATCCTTTAGAGTATAATCCTAGAGTGATCTACTACAGTGATCCAATCCAACGGCTGAGACGCAAACTAACCAAAACGACATCATTTTGGTTAGTAATTTGAAAAAAAAAAAATCCATTTCAAAATTCCCTCCATATACGCAGAAGGCGGAAAACAGAGTGAGAGAGAGGGAGAGAAGAAGAGGGAGACGCCGCTCCTCCCTGCCTCCAGACGCCCCGCCGCCCTACTGCCACCAACCCCCTGCTCCAGCCGATTAAAGAAAAATACAGGTATTTATAGTAGTTTAGAACACATGTTTAGAACAGGTATTTGGGTTTTGGTTTGCATTCCATTCCCTAAATCAGTCTATGTACAATAAATTTAGAACACATGTTCCATTCCTTGCCCTCCTCCTCTATCCCTTCTCAAGATTGCCCCTGGTACTACTGTGTTTTTGTTAATTCTTGTTCTTCTTTTATTTTTATGTTGTGTTGTTGAGTCAAATTGAAGGGTACCATTTCAAATCTCTTGATTCTTACTATTATTAATTAGATTCTAATTTATAAGGGAAACCCAATTCTAATTACTGTTGATTTGTTGTTTCTGGGTTCTTGTTAATTTTTATTTTTATTTGCTTTTATGTTGTGTTATTGAGTCAAATTGATCAATACTATTTCAAATCTCTAAATTTTTATCTATCATTAGATTCTGATTTATAAGGAAAATCCAATTTTGATCACTGTTGGTTTGGCTTGTTTGTTGTTTAATTTTGATTTTGTATGTTCATATGTTCATTATAAGAAAATTAAGGGATTTGGGTTAAATCTGGATCATTGAAAACATAATTTACTGTTTAAGGGATTTGTTCCCCTTTGTTTATATAATCTAATATTAGTTAACTCTTGTAGTGTTTTTATTTAGTTTGTATTATTTTGCAAACATAATTTGTAGTTTTTATGTAAATATTGAGCACTTATTTATTTTTTAAGTGACTTGGCACATTGAAATGAAACCTAACAATGTTGAGAATAACGGGGGTGATTGTGATTGGAAATCTAGAGTTTGCATGACATTTGATACAGAACAAGAAGCATATGATTTCTATAATGCTTATGGAAGAAGGCTAGGCTTTAGTATTAGAAGGGGTTATGTAAACAAGAGCAAGGAAGGACAAATCACTTCAAAGCAATTTGTTCGTAATAAGAAAGGGTTTCAGGTTGTCGACAAGCAAGATCCGTTAACAACAAATCCTAGGCAGGAAGTGAGGACTAGTTGTCAAGCCTGACTTATCATTAAGTGGGATAGGAATATTTAGAAATTTTTTGTTGGTGATTTTGTTGAACAACATAACCATATCTTTGTACCAGTAGAATGTACGTATATGTTACTATCCCAAATGAAGATATCTGCATCACAGGCAATCGAAATAGATTTAGCCGAAAAATCTGGAATCTGTCTTAATGCTGCATTTGAACTCATGGGTAATGAAGCTAGTGGAAGGGAGTCGCTTGGGTTCACAAACCTAGACCAAAAAAATTATTTGAGAACGAAGATATAAAAGAGTTTAGAATATAGGGAGGCAGATAGCATTTTACAATATTTTTGTGAGAAAACATTGGAGAATCCATCTTTTTTTTACTCGGTCCAATTAGATAACGTGGAGCAGATTACAAACATATTTTGGACAGATGCTCAAATGATCATGGATTATGGGCAATTTGGTGATGTTGTGACTTTTGACACTATTTACAAGTTAAATAGTGCACATAGACCATTTGCATCTTTCGTTGGATTTAACCATCATCGGGAAACTGTTATATTTGGCACAGCTTTGATGTATGATGAGATCGCCGATTCTTTTATATGACTTTTTAGAAGATTCTTGGAGGCGATGTCAAGTAAGGCTCCGGAAACAATTTTTACAGATCAGGATGTTGCAATGGCTAAAGCCATACTTGTTGTCATGCCTAACACAAACCACCGCCTTTGCACTTGGCATTTGATGCAAAATGCATTAAGACATGCAAATTCTATCTTCTAGGATATGGAGGTCAAGGATAAGAGGATGAAGAGTGTTTTATTCAAATTTATGTACGACATTGAGGATGAGGAAGAGTTTACATTAAAATTAGAGGAAATGCTTGACAAATATGAAGTGTGAGATAATCATTAGTTGAAGTTAACATTTGGGGTCAAGGAAAAATGGGGTTGGCCATATATTAGAAATGCATGGGGCGTAGGCATGAGTAGCACCCAACTTAGTGAATCCTTTAATGCTTTCTTGAAGGATTTCATTCGGTCTGGTAATAACTTAATGCAATTTTTCATGCATTTTGATCGAGTTCTTCGTGAGAAGAGGTACAAAAAGTTATAAGCCGAATATGCTCTATGCCAAAAGTTTCCAAGGGTGAATATAAAAGGAAAGATGATGGAGCAAGCTGTAGATGTTTACACCAATAAAATTTATGCAAAATTTCAGGATGAGTATGGCAAGTCCCTTGAAGTAAACATTGAAGAAACTGAACATGACGGTGAGAGTACAGTGTATGCAGTTCTTGATAGTGGTGGTGTAAAGGTGAGGAATGTGAGAGTGGAGTGTGATGGTTTATTGACTTGCAATTGTAAGAAGTTTAAAACGAAGGGCATTTTGTATAGTCATTGTTTGAAGATCCTTAGAGACACCCTTAAATTCAAAGAGATTCCTTCGCAATATATTCTTAAGAGATGGACTAAAAAAGCAAGAGCTGAAAATGTGAAAGATAGATGTGGGCATGATATTAAGGTTGATGTAAGATTGCATCAAACTTCACACTATAGATCATTGATGGCAATATTCAGAGCAATAGCATGTAGCGCTTCCGAAAGTAAGGAAACATATAACTTGACGGTAGAGAAAGCGGATGAATTAATTGCAATCATTGAAAGCATATTAAACGCAAAATTCAATATGCCTTTTTCAGATAATATTGAACAAGAAAGCCGTCCTCACATATGCCCCAAAAGCTTTGAAGTGCATGGTGTAGTGGATACAAATGCAGTTCAAGCAAAAAGACTCAAGAGAAGAGAGTGCACTAGCAAGGGAAGAAGGCGGAAAGAAAGTGGTTTGGAGCTTGCATTGGCAAAGAAAAATAAAAAAGTTCACATAATGCTTCTCAAACTCCCATGTTTGTTACTCATCAGCCTCCTTCCTTATTTTCGACGAGTGCTTCTCAACCTCCTCCCTTATTTTCAGCGAGTGCTCCTGAACCACATCCCTTGTTTTCGCCAAGTATTCCTCAATCTGCTCCTTTATTTTCAATAAGTGCTCCTCAACTTCCTCCATTCTCGACGAGTGTTCCTCAAGTTAATGCTTCTTCGTCTCAATTTATGTATCTTGTCTATGATGTAAGTTAATTTAATAAGAAGATTTATTATGTTTATTTGTAGGTCACTATTACCATTTTAAATTGATATATGTTTGTTATTATTTCAGCCAAGCAATATGCCTTTTCAATGCCATCAATGTATTCCGTGCATAGAAGCTATCAAGCATTGCTTAACAATGCAAGCGATTATGACTCGCAAGCCTTGAATAGTCCTACATGTAGTCAAGTAATTTATTTTGCACCTTTGCTCCTTTATTTTGACATTCATTTTAAGTTCCATTTTATTTTATGGTTCCTGTGTCATAAGACTATTTTCTTTTCTTTTTTAGGTACTACATGGGTATTGGCATGGGCGTGGTCATGGCCGCGGCTGTGGGCATGAGGGTGGCCGTGGGCAAGATCATGTGGATCACACGTCAATTGATCTTAGAGTTTATTCTTAAGTTGAATATGGTATTCATGTATGTAATATTGCAAAACCTGTCATGTGGATGTATTTTAATTGTTGTGTTCTTTGATCATTGGGTTTTTTTTTTTTTTGTAATTGTTTTTCTCTTATTTTGAAATGACAATGGAGCTAAAATGTTGTTGAAATATTGCCTCAAATTCTGGAATGTTGCTAAAAATTTTGCTGGAATTTTGCAGAAATGTTTCTGAAAATGTTGGTGAAAATTTTGCTGAAATGTTCCTGAAATGTTGCTAAAATGTTGGTAGAAATACATGGGGTCAATATTTTGTCATACCACCTCCCCTAATGCCGCTAGACAACTTGGACCAAAAATAATGTATCCTTGATAATGAATCTTTCATGAGATCCTATTACTTATTGTTTTCATTAACATAGAATCAACAGAGAAAGCAAGAAAAGTACAATTACAAAAATTATACATCCAAATATACATCCAAAACCAACTTAATTTACACTTAACATTTAGTTCACAAAACAATAAGTCCAAATCCAAACTTAATTTACACTTCATATTCAAACAACAAAAAAAATCCAAATCCAAACTTAGGCCTCGTTTGGGAACAGGCTAATTTAGTAACTTTTTGGCTATTGGGCTAAAATATGGGCTAAAATATGAGCTAAAAAAAACTAGTATGTTTGGGATAACTTTTTTACTTTTTACGAAAAGATGTGCAAAAAGAGAGAAAAAAGAATCTTTGACTTTTTAGTATGGGTTGTTGACTTTTTGGCTAATTTAGTAACTTTTTGACTTTTTGGCTAAAAGGGATGGTTCCCAAACGAGGCCTTAATTTACATTTACTATTTAAGCAACATAAGAAGAAGTCCAAAACCAATCAATACAATTATTACAATGGCGTAGTGCAACTTTTCTCGAAATTCTCTAATCTCTACAACCATTTGTTTACTTTCTTTCCTACACTTTGCAACCATCTCTTTCAGCTCGCCATTGGATACAATGAGTTTGTTGACCAAAGGCGTGATATTACAATTTCCCTCACTTTTTCCCCTTAGCATCTTCAACCATTGACGCTATTTATGTAAAGGTATCCACCACTTAAAGAAGTCGCATCTATTGGTGTTGTTGAAAGGGCAAGCAAAGTATACCATCCTTGGATTTTCCTTTGACTCTAAAATCTTGAATGCTGCTCTTGTCCCGCAATGACATTTTCGATTTCTAAACTGAATTTCACTAGTATCTGTAGATACCTCATTTTTTTGACGGCCCTTCAAGACTTGGGTGTTCTTACAGGTACATCCGATGATGAGTCTGTTTGCTCGCCAAGCACTCGAAATCCTCAGCAAAATGCCACAACTTTGAGCCTTTCAAACCCTGCATCCATTTTGTCTCATTTTTAGACCAGGCCTTTATCTTTCCAGCTTGCAATCTCTGGTGGCCTGCCAAACATCCTTAGAGGCTGCCGGCCAGCACTTCTTGTCTGTCGGCCATTGATATGCCTTGCCGGCTATCAATGATGCCTTGCCGGCCATCACTGATGGTCGGTCGGTTAGCTACCAGTGTTTTCTACAGATAGTTTATGCCAACTGTGTCAGTTGTTTGCACAGATGTTTGCATCTGTCCACATGTGGAAGGTTGGATCTCCTTGTATAGATTTCATGTTTTCTATATATAGAGACCCCCACTCTCATGTTTTGAGGTTAGAAAATTTTAGACTCAAAATTTTCTTCTCTCTCTCTCTATAAATTTCCTACACTTTTGCCTACAATTCCTACACTCTTGCCTATACACCCTTAACCAAATCCCCTAATCTCTGAGCTAAGGTGTTCTTAGGCTTGGTTTGAGCTCTGGAAGATGTTTGGCTTGGCTTGGCTTGTTGCCTAGAATTACTCTTCCCTTCAAAAGGTATAGCACTTGTCATGTACACTTTGTTTTACACACTCATTTTGATATCTTTTCCCACTGTTTTTGGGCTGCTTTTGAACTATAAAAAACCTGTTTTGGTGGACTAAAAGTGATAGTTTGAGACCATTTTAAGTTAAGGGGTGTTTCACCCTTTTTTCTTTTTTATTTGAAAGGTTTTTGCACCTGTTTTCTACTTTCAAACCAACTTTTTTTTTGCTTTTAACCATTGAATTTCAGAGTATTTTTAGTGGCAAAAAACATATTTTAAATTCCTAAATTGGAGGGGTTAGCCTCCCCTCCTTGTGTCTTGTTTGTTAGCCTAGTTAATTTTATATGTGTACGGGGAGCAAATATTCCGGCGTGCCCGTATTCCTTTCTTCCGAGCTCCGTCGATATCCGATCACCTGCGAGCAAATAACGGTGAGCTACCCGGCGGTGTGTGGCCGGAAAAACCCTCCGACGGTCAAGTTAGCACACACCTTAGAGGGAATAGAGAGAAGGGAGAGAGTGTTTGAGTGTAAAAAATCCTTACAGATATGTTCGTGTGTCCCGTATGGGGGGCGCAAACATGCCTATATACCTTCTGAGCCCCTTACCCACTCCCAGTCATCTCCTGACACGTGGCTCTGCTATCCCATCTGTCAGCATAGACCTTGCTGAACATCACCTAATCTCAACTGCCTGACTTCACAGCTGGAGCTCGGCAGCCGAGCTGCTCTACCACGGCCATGCCATGCTTCATACCCATGCGCCTAACCGGACAAACACATGGAGGACCGGGCTAGGCGGCATCCCGGAAAAGCCTAGCCCGGGTACCTCCTTTGGTCGGCCTAGTTGCCAAGAGACAAAACGGGTCAGTATACAGGTATACTGGTATGAGTACAAGATTTAACACCCATGTGTCTACCAGACGCAAACCAAAATACATTAAATTCTTACTACGGAACAAGACAAGTAGTTCCAACCGCACCGAGACAAATGGGTAGTTTCCTGATATACGATGGCATTTAATTTCTTGTCCGTATACAACCAAAATATAAATTGATTATAAAATAAACAAAATAAAAATAAAAATATGGTGGGTCAGCCCTACAAAAAAAAAGAAAATTAGTATGACCCACCATCTTGCAAAACCAATAAAAATGAGCTCGCTTCATGGGTTAAAACAACATTTAAAATCTGCATTGCTAAAATAAATCAAACCGACAATAATCAAGATCATCCGATTATGGGTTCTACTCGATCTTTTAAATAAAAAGCTACAACACAAAAGTTGTCCAAAATCACGTATACATGTCTCTCCTCAAATTTCATAATTTATCAATATCGTTTACTATTTTTTTTATCATGTACATAACAGTACCATACACACTATACTAATGAATTCATAATTAAATTCTTTGTTCCTTAACTCCACCACTTCGGCTCTCCCCTTTCGGCCTACACATATATCCCATGTGCCTCCCGTATACCTAACACCGCTCCGAAGCCAAACTTGCACGGGGATATCGTCCCGAGTTTGACTCACACTCCCCGGATGGTTAGCATATACGTACGCGCGCAAATCAAAGCACTCGTCTACTCATGAGAACGAGGCAACAATATATATACACAACATCTCACACATGAGAATAAACATAACAATGCCAAGCCTAAGACATTCAAATAATCTCAATATCCTCACCTTTTTTATACACTCTTTCTCACCATCACTCAAATAAACAACAATCCATGGAATCATGTGTGGAGTATAAGGAATTATCTATGGGTTCCTAATTAATTTTAAATTTCATATAACCATGAGTGTGATTTACAACAATAAAATAATCCATATAAAAATCCTAAATTGACATAACCAACTAATCAAAATAATTAAATTCAATCAATAAAAAACCGTAAGTGACTGTTTGAATAACACTTATGTTTGTTATATCACTCCCTCCGGGCTCAATATATACAAAACACATATCTATAAACTGGCTTTTAGTCCCGTGATTTTAAGAAAAACATCCACTTACAAACGACAAACTTGGTCTTGACCAACACACCGTTTGACACACAATATAGAAAGGTATTCTCTCTATAACCACAGAAAAAAACACAAGCTAAGAGTAGAAATGCGCGATGGTGGCTGGTGCG